GCTACCCTCATATCAAGTCGGAAGCCTTCCACCTTGGCAATATACAACAAGGTGTGGAAAGTGTATTCTGCATGGAGATCAGATGGTAATAACGCGAAACTCACCAAGGTAGTTTCAGTGCTGGAATTTCTACAGGCTGGGGTAGAAAGAAACTTGTCATGCAGTACCATCAAAGTGCAGATTGCAGTGCTGTCCACTTTTTTGGAACACAGGCTGGCTGCAGAACCACTGATCAGGAGATTCCTCAAAGCAGTGGCCAGGGCGAAGCCTCCAAGTACGAATCATTTCCCCACTTGGGACCTATCGGTGGTCCTGCGCAGTTTCTTGGAAACTCCTTTTCGAGCCAATAGCCGAATGTTCACTAAAGACTTTAACGTTAAAAACAGCGCTTCTAGTGGCCATGGTCTCAGCAAGAAGGGTCAGTGAGATCCATGCGTTATCAAGTCTAGACGCATACTGCAGAATTTTGCCGGACAAGATTATTCTCAAACCAGATCCGGCTTTTCTCCCTAAGGTAGTCTCGATGTTTCATCGGACACAAGACGTAGTGATTCCATCATTTTGCGCTAATCCAGCAAATGAGAAAGAGGCTGCGTTACAGGGCATCGACGTGCGTCGATGCGTTCTGGAATACCTGGACAAAACTAAGGAGATTAGGAAGTCCAATAATTTGTTTGTGCTGTTTTCTGGTCAAAAGTTGGGGTTAAGGGCCTCCAAGAGCTCCATAGGGAGGTGGATTAAAATGGCTATATGCCAGGCATACGCTCTACAAAACCTGAAAACACCACAGCGAGTGACAGCGCACTCCACAAGAGCTTTGGCTGCATCCTGGGCCGAAAGAGCAGGGGCTACCCCAGATCAAATCTGCAGAGCAGCAACCTGGTCCAGTTTTGCAACATTCGTCAAACACTATAGAGTGGATCTGACGTCAAGCCAAGATCAGGCTTTCGGGAGAAAGGTACTGCAAGCCGTGGTCCCGCCCTGATTGTGAGTATGGTGCTCGTTTATCCTCTCTAATGCTGTCCTGGAAGGTGACTAGAGAAAATTGGAGTTACGTACCTGGTAACTCTGTTTCTAGGAACCTTCCAGGACAGCAGGGATTCCCACCCGGTTTGGTGTGGCTTGCTGTAAGATGCCGTACGGGGTGCGGTGACGTATATAGATATATGTATAAATGGTGTATAAATTGAATGTGTACATCTTCCAGAGGAAGGGGTACGTGACGTGGTATCCTTTGGTGCTTATGAATTAACTGAAGTGTGCTAGGCTGGTACTCTTTTTATTCTAGGTGTGGGTGATGTGTTTTTTGTTACACTTAAAGGAGAACTATGGGGTTAAGGCTTTTCCCCATAGTTCTCCTTGGGGTAACGGGAGGACACAAACTAGCGTCTTCCCGTCACCCTAGGCTCAGTATACTGCAAGCTGTAGCACGCAGTATACTGAGATGCTGAAGCTGATCTCGACAATTATGCCGGGATCCGCCCAGCTGCCTGACTGACAGCTGGCTCTGCCTATCTAGAGGCAGAGCCAGCTGTACCTGCCCCGTCCGTTCCGCCAGTTAGCGCTGGCGGGGAGGGGGGAATCCAGTCCCTCCCCTGTCATGGCAGAGAGCCATGACAGGATGGAGAGGTGAGCGAACGCCGGTATGTGTTTGCTCACCTCCCGATCTACTGAGCCGACCTGTGACAGTCTCATTGTCACAGGTCGGCTAGAACTATGAGGTGAGTGAAAAGCACTCGCCTCATAGTTCTCATTAAGGGGTGGGGGACAATGTCACCAAAAGTTACAGTTGCAATTTTAAAGTGAACCTGTGCCTCAGCCAGGGTAATTTGCACACACAGGCTGTACAGTGATGGTCAGGGCCTGGAGAGCTGGGAAGAAGGTAAGTAATTTGCCTTGACAGCTGCACTTGGTGCAGGGGTGTTATTAAATTAGTATTAAACGCTCAACCTTTGTTTCAATAATGAATGCAGATCAAACAAATATACATTGTTAAGCAAAGCTTTTCTTTTTGCCCAGATACTTCAAATTTCTGAACAGCTGGCTCCAACTCTCTTGGCTCAGCTTCCCTGAACATACTGCTCAGTACAAGACCAAAAAGGAGAGCACAGTCTCTAGCAGCTATCTACTAGCTTGGAGCAGGGGAGTAGCTTGCTCTGCTGTGCCCATGTGTTTATGGAAACACACAGATTACTAGCACACAAGGGTGGCTCCATTGGACCCTGCAGGAGAAAGGAGCCACCCTTGAACAGGATATATGGTCCAGTGCTCAGAGGACTAGCTGATTCTGAAGGAAACTAAAACTTCAGACATCAAGCAGCAGCATCCATTTTAAGGGATGTCATCAGCGTTTGAAATTCCTTTTTTTAAACTTCAAAATAACTTTAAAGGACATCTTTCTGGTCTTTTATAATTATTTTTGGGGTCAAAATAACTGCCAGGCAGCTCCATGTTTTCATTAGGGGGTTAGCAATATCAGCTGTTACCCCTCTTATTTGTATTGGCTGTAATAGTGGCAGGAAGAGTTTGATAGCAGGATTGGTCTATACATTGTTAAAGCCAATCTGTCACAAAAAAAGAAACTAAAAGAAGTGTAATACTTCCCTGTCCTGCTGTCTGTGCATGGGATCTTTTCTCACTTGAAAAGCCTACCAACTGAAAATCTTAATCATCCAGCAGACCGTAGTAACGAAGTGCACATTAGGGGACCAGGCATCTGACACCTCCAGAACCGTGTCTGATACAGAAGATCATTCAGCCGATGAAACCCAGTTTATAATGTAAAGGGAAGTGAGGGAGTTAGGTTCCAGGCCTCTCTCAGAAATGACATAAGTGACATAATACACTATATTTAAAGCTTTGAAATGAATGCTCCAAGGGTACCCCTGTGCCCGTAGCATGGCTCTGTGACCCCATATAACCAAATGAACGTCTGTGTGACATATCTCCAAGTGTACCCCTGTGCTTTTCTGTATCTCCAAGTGTGCCCCTCCATGTCTCCAAGTGTATCCCTATGTTCTTCTGTAGCTCCAAGTGTGCCTCCAGCATGTCTCTATGTTCCTGTGTCTATCTCCATGTGTATCCCTGTCTCATCAGCGCATATCCATGTGTGCGCCACCATACCTTCAAGTATTCCTCTGTGTGCCACTGTAGGTGTCCACAGTTTTTTTTTTTTTGACTGCAGAGCCCCTTCCCAAGCTGTGATCCTCCAACTGTGCCCCGATCCAGCCACCAGAAACAGCATAGTACTGTACTGATAGTATTCTAGCCACTTGCAGTTGAGGCCTGCAAAGGCAGGCAGAGCTGTTGTTTCAATGGTGGTCATGTGACTGCCAGAAACAGGCGCTATTTTGAAACTGCGCAAACCTAGGGCTACCTGTATTTTTTTTATTTTGTAGAATATGCTGATCTTGTCAAATTAGGAGATGGAACTAAAGAGACCGCAACATTGCAAATTGCTAAACTTGAATGCAGTTGGAGTTGAAAGTTTTTGTTTTGCTCGGTAGGTATGCTTTAAATAAGTCTGCCCATAGACTTTCTCATGCAGTCAGCAGTTTTCGTGGACAGTGTCCACAGATCTGGCTCCAAACTCAGTAGGGCTGGGAGAATGCATGTGCTTGGTCAGCAGTTGTAACAGACTGACTCATGTTCTATTGGGAAAAGAAATGGACAGGGATGTTAGCCAGCACCCATTTGCACTGTAGCAACTTTTCCCAAACCAGTCCTCCGTGGCCGCTACCAGCTTGTGTCCTATTGATCTCATCACGCGTATTTAGTTATTTCCTGCCTTGAAATGATTCAAAAGTAGATGGACGAATCTGATCTGTCTCATGTTTCTAAAGTCATTTTCTCACGGCTGTGATTAGCAGTTTATGCAAGTGTGCAGCACAGTGGCTCAGCCTCGCAGCACTGGAGTCTAGGTTTGGTCAGGAATTGATCGGCATGGAGTTTGCATGTACTCCCTGTGCTTGCGTGGGTTTCCTCCCACACTTGAAAGACATGCTTATTTGTAGGTTAACTGAGTTCTGTTTAAACTGGCCCTAGTATGTCTGCATATGAAATAGGAGCCTAAGGGTGCCCATATACCTTGCGATTTTCGGTCAGGAATTGTTGTTGCTGCCAGGAACCCTCGTTCGATTCTAGCTCAAATAGCCCATCAAGCACAGACCAATGTCGATTTTTGTTCGTTAGCAATACTAACTCATCGAACTTTGACGATCGACAGAACAGATTTTGTTTGCGCATGTGCAGTGTTATTGCTGCAATTTGTTTTGTTTTATTTTTTCTTCACCACCACTAATCCATCGATTTTCATTCGATCTGAAAAACGTTTTCCCGCCTCACCCCATGAGAAAATTGGAGCGGGATTACAGTGAAAAAATTTTTTGGTGCCCCATCAACTGTTCGATTATCGTACAAAGCATCAGCCGTGGAAGATTTCTGAATGAAAATCGAAGAGTGCATGGGTACCTTACAGCTGGCCATACACCTTACAATTATCTGCAGATTTTCTGTGGTCAGTTGGAAAAGGTGCAACAGATTCCTCCATCTATGCTAAACTGTGTGGATGGAGTAATCTCCACCTGGGCCAATCTGTTGCACTTTTTCCATCTGACCACAGAAAATCTGCAGATAAATTGTAAGGTGTGTGGACAACTTTAGATTAAGGGGAATAGCACTAGATAAATACCTGGAATATATAAATACCTGGAATATATAAATACCTGGAATATATAAATGGCAAAGAAGATTACTGTGACTTTCAAAAAAGGCAGTTATAACATAATGGAGATCAAGTGACCAAAGGTGAGGGGAGTTCAGAGGCAAACCCTGGTCATTTTTGAAGGAAGATTTTCCTGAGAGAAATAAAGCTGCCATTGCTGACTATAATGTCTATAATTTTGACATTATAGTGACTAATGGCTATAATTTTCTCAACCTGTATACACTGTGGACTTTAGGGACCATTCACACCTTTCCATGTGTGTTATTAGTGCAATGCATTTCAGAATCCTATTTATTTTGAAAGGGTAATTGGACTGCTGAGAACTGAGCACTGCATCCTGGGAGGAAGGGGAGAAAGTCATTCCAAAATTGGAAATAAGTGTTAATTAGAACAGAGGAACAGTAGTGGGGAAATGCGCTAAAGGTATCGGGGGGAGGAGCTTAAGACAGCCTGTCCCCATAAATGAGCAAAGGAACAGATTCTCTTTAAAACTGAACTCCTTTTTACCTACACTTCTACTCAGCCAGGTATGATTGAGACACCTCTGTCAGATAGCACAGCCAGATGCTTGGCCTTCCTGCAACCGGTTATGAGCAAAATACAGACTCTGCTAGTGCTGGTTTCAGCACGTCCTAAGTTGCCAACCTAGACCAAAGAGATAGAAAAGTCTAGTCCTCATCTGCATATTTGTTCTAGGTCAGTGAAGCAAGGCAGTCAGGGCATTTTCAGAAGCTGTAAGAATGGCTTCCTCTGTGACTCTCTCATAACTAGTTTCCTGCAATGTAATATGGGAATTCTTTAGGGAATATGCCCTCACTAAACTCCCATAAATACAAGAAGCCAGCATGTGTTCAACATAAAAACGTTTGTAGTCTTGAATAGAGTCATGCGCTTTGCCAACTGTGTGTGTGTCGCTCCAGTGATGGACTACAATGTCACATTTACTTTACTAACTTGTATTGAGATTGTAGTCAATCACGGAAGCAAGCTTGGAGCGGTGGCTACTTCACAACACACAGCGACCATGGGGAACAAAAGTAGCCACCCTCCGAAAGGAAGAACAGTGTCAGCACCAATTCATTGATGATTTGAGGATCTACAGCCGAGTGATACACAAATAGGATACATTTTTGTTACTAGTTAAGGTACTTCAATGTATTTTTAAGATTTCCCTCCAGAGTTCAGGGTCACTTTAAACCTGTGTTTTTCCATTCACAGCCATACAAAAGGTTTGCCTATGTTCTGGATTCAATACTATCTGATTAATTGACTGGGAAAAAACAGAAACCCCCAATCTGCATACTTGTTCCACTTTTGTGCCACACGAAGTATTAAAGCCACTGGACCAGCATGACAACCTGCCATCAAGCATTTTTAGAAGACATCAGGAATAGCACCCCCATATCCTGTCAGTGCTATTCTGCTTTTGTTAGCACTTCAGGACAGCTTCTCTACCCATACAATTCCATTGGTGTCACTGGAGGAAAAGTTTCCCATAATTGTTGTCAATGAAATTTGGAAACCTGTATGTGTGGCACTTTAGCAGCACAATGAAAGTACTTGTTTACACTTCAAAGTTGCATTAAGTACCGTGTTTCCCCGAAAAGTAAGACCTACCCCAAAAATAAGACCTAGCGCTATCTTCGGGGATTTCTGTAATATAAGACCTACCCCGAAAATAAGACCTAGTTCGGGGTAGGTCTTATATTACAGAAATCCCCGAAGATATCGCTAGGTCTTACCTTCGGGGGAGCTGCACATGTAACTAAATTTTACGGACAGCTGCAGCCAGGTAAGACATCCCCCGAAAATAAGACCTAGTGTCTTTTTTCGTGAAAAAAATAAGACACTGTCTTATTTTCGGGGAAACACGGTAACATTTTGATCATTTATGCAACAGAAGCTGATTGGAATTTCACGTACATCTCAATAATGACAGCCAAATCCACTTATGTAATCTTCTAGACATCCAAACGCCTATGAGTTTCCAAAAGCCACTTTTATCTCTTACCCATTACAAGTTGGCTTGGTATGCGAGAACCTACCGTTTCCAATGCTTAATACTAGGGATGCTCCAATACCACTTTTTTTAAGACCGAGTACCGATACTTTTTTTTCTAAAAAAAAAAAATACTGTCCCACCCATCCACATGCTCAGCGTCTAAATGCCAGCTTGGCCAAATTGCAAGCTTTACAACTGCTGCCTTTCCGTCTGGTGGACTCTGCCCCCTTCTGGGAATTTGCAGAATGTGCTGTACCAGTGGCAGGTTCCCAAACGCCATTTCTTTTCAAGTAAGGCCATTCCAGCTCTGTACCATCATGTGGAAGGCAATGTTTTGGCCTCGTTGGACAAGGCAGTCAGCAGCAAGGTCCACATTACCACTGACACGTGGTCCAGCAAGCATCGTCAGGGCGTTATATTTCCTTCACGCACACTGGGTAACTCTGCTTGCAGTTAGGAAGGATGCAGAACGGGGCTCCATGCTGGAGCTTGTTCAGCCACCACGCCTCAAAAAACCTGATGATGTGAGATCTGTCTGCTCCACCCCCTCCTCTTCCTCGTGCAGAATGGCCTCTTCTGCTGAATTGTCCTGTGAACCAGCAGTTCACCGTAAGCATTCAAGGGGGCGGGCGGAAGCTGCGGCTAGCGCTCTGATGTCGTCCAGGGAGCCGCTCTGGGTGCTCTGTCAGCCAATCGGAAGGCTTCTGGCAGTGTGGGGGGGGGGGGATGCTAGGTCTTATTTTCGGGGTAGGTCTTAATTTCGGGGAAACACGGTATAACTCTGAAGGGTTATTGTGTGAAGGCACCGCCAACACCCTTGGCCCAATTTTCTTTAGACTTGCATTGAATTCGCGTTCAAACCGGACTCGCACCTATTTGGCCCATCACTATAAAAGATCCCAACTATGACAGTACCTTCCCTTGATCTTCAGGGTCCTGTACTGCTGCTGTGCTGACTGAGTTTCCCTGTGCTGTGAAGACACAGGGTACGTTCGCTCAGCATAGCGGCCATTCAGTGAACGTTTAGTATTTTTATCAATGCCTACAAGGCATTCTCTGATTGGATGACAAGCAGTGACAGGATCCCTATGACCTTACCAGGTATAAAAATGCCATGTTTGCTTTGTTACTTCAATGCTTTGTTTCAGTATATTAGAATGTTTCTGCCTTTTTCTGGGTTAGAGACTCCCATCACTGAGGGTTGAAGTTTACCATAATAGCTAGCTAGCATTTTCAAAGAAAACAGCGATGGTTGACCCGAATCAGCCTTGTGACGGGTTCTCTTTAATTGCTGACACCTGTCCTCCAGTTTGACATCACTGGAGGAGCACAGAGCTTCCCGCGAAACTGACGTCACCAGGAGGCCCCCGGCCGCCCCTACTCACAACGCGTCAGAGAAGCCGACTGAGCTCGCCTACTCTGCGCTCTCATTGGCCAACGTGTACCGGCTGCGCGCTGAGGTCTCCATCGTGACGGCGGAGCTGATTGGCTGCGCGGGCGGAACCGGCCATGACGGACTTTAAGCTGGGGATCGTGCGCCTCGGCCGGGTGGCTGGCAAGGTGAGCGTTGGTGCCAAAATGACACCAGTACACATTGTGTGTGGTGGGCACTGACTCTGTCCGGCATGGGCTGACTCTTCTGTCTGAGGGATCTCCTCTGCTCCGCCCTTTGTAGGGCGTGGAATAACGTGAGATGACGAGATTTTTCATGTCGGTGCGCTGGGTTCCACGTGTGGGGGTCCTTGATGTGTGGTTACCTTCACCACCAGGGGAAGGTCTGCACTGCTTGGACAGGACATTGGCACATGCCTATCTCATGCTATTACCGTACGCTGCCAGCAGAGGGAGCTCTGTCACCTGGGCAGTGTATCCTAGTATTACCGTACGCTGCCAGCAGAGGGAGCTCTGTCACCTGGGCAGTGTATCCTAGTATTACCGTACGCTGCCAGCAGAGGGAGCTCTGTCACCTGGGCAGTGTATCCTAGTATTACCGTACGCTGCCAGCAGAGGGAGCTCTGTCACCTGGGCAGTGTATCCTAGTATTACCATACACTGCCAGCAGAGGGAGCTCTGTCACCTGGGCAGGGTATCCTAGTGTTACCATACACTGCCGCATAGGGAGCTCTGTCACCTGTGCAGGGTATCGTAAAGGTGCCCATACACCTTACGACCATCGCAAGACTTTTGTCTTCCGATGGTCGTAAGCTTATTGAAAGCCCGTACGATCGGCCCACCTTGGACGGGCAGATCGTACTTGCGCTCATCGAAAGCCCGCCCTGCTGAGGGGCGGGCTTCTGATGACGGCAATGCAGAACGGGCAGTGTGCGCACAGCGGCCCGTTCCGCAGCTATCGGGCGAGCAGGCTAGAAACCCGCCGAGAATAGTACGATTCTTGGTGGGTTTTCGAGCATGTTGACTCCACAAAAGACGTGCGACCGTACAGTAGAAACGGTCGCACGTCTTAGTTCACACTGCTCGATTCTCGTACGATCGCGGGATTTCGCCCGATTCTCGTACGAGAATCGAGCAGTGTATGGGCACCTTTAACACTACAGTAGATTGCTAGAAGAGGGAGCTCTGTCACCTGTGCAGGGTATCCTAGTATTACCATACACTGCTAGAAGAGGGAGCTCTGTCACCTGTGCAGGGTATCCTAGTATTACCATACACTGCCAGCAGAGGGAGCTCTTGTAACCTGTGCAGTGTATCCTAGTATTACTGTACCCTGCCAGCAGAGGAAGCTCTTGTCACCTGTGCAGTGTATCCTAGTATTACCGTTCACTGCCAGCAGAGGGAGCTCTTGTCACCTGTGCGGGGTATCCTAGTATTCCCGTACACTGCCACCAGAGGGAGCTCTTGTCACCTGTGCAGGGTATCCTAGTATTACCATACACTGCACTACCACCTGTGCGGGGTATTGTAACATTTACAGTACTCTACCTGCAGAGGGATCTTTCTGTCACCTGTGCAGGGTATCATAACATTACAATACTCTGCCAGCAGAGGGAGCTCTGTCACCTGCGCAGGGTATAGGCATGTCACCACCTCATACCTTTACTGAGCACTGATACTAGAAGGGCATCATCACCTGAGTGCAGGGCATGTGACCACTTCCTGTCATTATTTTTTACTGCAGCCAGAGGGCGCTCTGTTACCTGTGCAGAGTAGAGATATGTAAGCCTGATGTGATATCTGTCACTGAACCCTAGAAAGCAATCAGCTGCTTATGAACATCTCATATCTACAGTGCACATGGCAGGGTGGGCTCTGATACTTTTTACACATGTCTGTAAGGTGATATATCATGTCATTACCAGTCAATGCTGCCAGAGGGTACCCAGCTAAGGGCACTGGTTATTGAACTGTGCTAATGTAAATCTGCAGCATGCTACCCTGGGTAGCCATTCTTATTTGACATTGTGTGCAATTCTCTCAGTCCATCATGTACAGTGTGAAATGGATGTGTGTGCGTGGCTCATGGGGAGGGGTTACTATACAGTTTCTTCATACTCTATGGTGGGTTAGAACTAAGGTTGCAACTAATGATTTATTATCGATTTAGTTGGCTGACTATTTTTTATTTTATTTTTTCGATTAATGGGACAAAAAATAATGAAATGCCATTTAATTTTAAAATACACAAATGCAGTGTTACAAACATAAAGTTTACTTCAGAATAAAACTGCATTCACAATTTATTTGCAATCGCACTGCACTGGAGCACATAGCGCCATGCGTTCCAGTGCTGGCGATCGCACTGTGGGTGGGAGGTGTGTTTGGGGTGCCACTGAAATGAATGACACTGCAACACAGCTCCAGCAGCAGAATTTTTCAGGCCAAAACCAAAAATTACTTTTTTTTTTCCTCACCATTTTTGTAATTTAAAAAAAAAAAGTAATTGTATTGTAAGCACATGGCGCTTGAATTACTGCAGCCAGGAAATGGGAGGTACCAATGGCAAGATTCCGCAGACGGCAGCTGAATGCAAATAAAGTAGGTAATGGGCTGGTGCCATAGCCAGCCTCCTATTGGCCATTTTAAATTGCAATAGCAGGCTGGATATTGCACCCACCCACTGCTTGCTGTGCCCTCCTCCCAGCGTGGAGGAGAGAACTAAGGGATCCAACCAACTAATCCATAATGAGAATAGTTCACAACTATTCTCATAATCAATTACCGTATTTTTCCATCTAAGACGCCCCCATGTATAGAACGCCCCCCACTTTTCTTGCCCAAAATTCAGAAATCAATATTTTCCATGCTCTTTTGCATAACTGATTACATCCAGTTTAAATTTTGCAGAGTAAGACAGCCGCTTCCTGGTATTGGTACTTACCGGGATTTTTTTTGTTTTCTGACATTTTATGGGCTCAGAATGCTCCGACATTACCGCTCCCTGTTATCTGGGCACTGGCTACAGGCTCTCCGCAGCATCAGCTGACGTCGGGTACATAAGGCTCTTGATTGGAGGAAACCTGTTAGCTTGTCTCTGCAATCGGAAGTTTCGCTCGTGAGGCTAGTTTGCAGAGGTATCGGTAGTTTCGCAACTGCGGTTCTCCTCTCGGCCCCCCGTGTATAAGACGCCCCTCCATTTTTAGGTAAATATTTTTATGAAAAAGTATATTCTTATACACGGAAAATACAGTAATTGATCAGTTGGTTGCAGCCCTAGTTAGAACTAGAGGTGCACTGAAATGGAATTTTCAGGCAGAAGCCAAAAATAGTGTCAGGCCGAAACTGAAAATTATTATTTTTTTAATATTACTGTACTGTCGGTAGATTTCTGGGGAAATAACTAAACAGACCCCTGATAATTCCCTTTTTAAAATAGAACAAGAGATTGAGGACACAGAGTACTTAATCTTTTTTTTTTGCACCCCCTGTTATGAATGAACCAGAATCCTCTATCACAGGGGTAGCCAAACTCCGGCCCTCCAGCTGTGGTGGAACTACAAATCACATGAGGCATTGCAAGATTCTCACAGACATGACTCCCGGAGGGAGATGCATCATGGGATTTGTAGTTTCACCACAGCTGGAGGGCCAGAGTTTGGCTACCCCTGCTCTATACGGAGTGCTCCCTCCATTCATACATTGAGGATATAGTATGAGTTACTATGTCTACAATCATGATTGAACAGGAAGTGATGTAGAGCACTGGCTGCTCATTCATAATTGGAGACACAGTAAACATACTATGTCCTCAATTATTTACAAGCAGTCAGCGATCACTGATTCTTTCCCTCAGCTGTCTTTTTGTTAAGGAACTTAAATTGATTAGTTAACTGATTTTTATTTTCCCGATTTAATCAGATATAAGAAAATTTAAATACAATCCTTAATTTAAAATAAAATACACAAATGCAGTTTTACAGTGTACTTCAGAATAATACTGAATGGACAATTTTTTGCAATCGCATTGCACTTGAACACACAGCATTGCGGTACTGTGTTTTCCAGTGCTGGCGATCACACTGTGGGTGGGAGGTGCGTTTGGGGTGCCATTTAAATGAATTTTCAGTTTAGTGGTGATGTTAGGCTATCTAAACCTAACAACCTCAGAGGTGTGAATGGGGCCTAACAGTCATATCCTAGAACCTGAGGAGAGCCAGCACACACTTGAGAAATGTACCAGTGGTGCGTGGATGGATCCTGACGCACAGGACATGAAATACCAGGCAGGTGTTTGTTTTTTTTCTACATTTAGCCCTGCTGCAGGCAAGCAGCTCAATGTAGACCTGGGGAAGCCGCCACTCGTTTTTGTACAAGTGATCTGGGTGGCTGTAGCAGCCTGCTTGTTCCCTGCCGAGGATTTCTGGGTCCCACGACAAATGACTTCAGGATGGAGAGCAGAGAGGAGAATGCCCGTTCCCTGATTTGCTCTGTGTGATCAATGGAACAGGAGCGCTGTACTCGCAGCACTTCCTGTCTCAGCTGTCACAAGCTCGGTTTCAATGCAGTATTCTGTATTGGAGGGCAGGGGAGACATCTGGGGTCTAATATACCCAAAATGTCTCCATAAACAGAACCTGTCGCCTCCAAACAATATATAGGTGCTTGTTAGCCTGTGTTTATAACAATAAAGTTAAGTGAAAAAAATGTTAAAACCAACCATCTGCATGTGAAAAAACACGTGTGCTGCCCCATTCCACTGTGTTCCATACTATGGTAGTGCTCTCTAACACGCACAATGTGCAGTAAAGTGACAAAGTCATTTTTTTTTCCCCCTCCCCACAATGTTAAGTAAAGCACTAACCTTAAATGATGTTTCTTAATCCGATCTTCTTCTTTCCTGTCCTTTTCACCTGTCCCTCCAGTGGTGCTGCGGGTCTCCGATCCAGCGCTGACTCCTCTGTGCTTGCTGGCACTTCCTGTCCCACGGTGTCTGCATGCGGGTGCACGCGTCCATAGACTTACCTTGTGTCTCTCCTCGCGTCCCAGCCGAAAATGTGAACTGCGCATGTGCCCGCCCCAAGATGCTTTGCGGCCGCCCGAAGATCTTCACATTTTCGGAAGGGAGCACACAGGGAAGACGCAGGTGAATATTAACCTCTGTTAAAGTGTGTCCTTTTTAAAAAAAAAAAATTTTAAACTTTTTGCATGGATCTACTGCTTGCTAGCTTAATTATCCTTTAACAGGTAAGGTCACGTACTGCCGTCCAGCACAGCCCTGCACTTTGGTTTTTAAATTGCGAGCACTCATTGGTCAGTGTGTTCACCTGACCGCGCTGACGAAAGAGAAGCACTTAGCACGGTTAAATACAGTTTTGGTTAAAATTATTTTTTGTATCACTACAAGTAGATTGGGCCCCCTGCATTAGTCCTTGGAAAGCTGTTTTCTTTACAAATTTCCACCCCTGTGTACGGTTCCCTCTTCTGTCTCCTACTTGGATGCATCATGTCTGTGCAATAGGAAGCTCTTCTGTATACAGAGTAGTAGTTGTGGATGTCTGGTTTGCATTCAGCCCCCTTTGTGTATTATTACTATGTATTCTGTACTGCTTTGCTTAGTCCCGTTTATATAAATATTTAAATGTTGGTTAGGAATGTCATTGGCGCCATAATGGCAGCTGCTGAAAGGAAATGTCGTGTGTTGCTGTGCAGGTTGTCACTGTTGGTATCTGGCACACATGCATGAGATGCGAGTTGAATGGTCAGCCTGACATAAAATCATGTTCAACCCTCGCTATAACCTGCCAAATCCTAGCTGTTATATGCTATGTTGGCGTGTTATATGCAGCGATTACTTTTTAGCTATGTTAAAACATATCTATATCTAAAATGTTTTGCTTTTTCTCTGTTTTTGATAGAATGGGGGAAGGTTGGAACCTCTGTCAGGTTTTACAGCTATCCAGGGCTCTGTCAGAGATTTCCCCTTACTTCCTGCTCTGAGTGGACAGCCTTTTACCAGACAGGAAGTGAAGGAAAATCTGAAACTGGGAACAATAAAAATTTTGTCAAGATCAAGGCTTCCCCAACTTGTAACAAAAAAAATGTATACTTCTGTCTGTGTCTGTTATATATTGCCCCTCACTGCCCTGAGGACAACCTTTTTATCAGACAGGAAGTGCCTCTGATACCCATAAATCTTTTCCCACCCAAAAGTTTTAGACTTTAGATGCACTTTAGGTGGTCTGTCTGGGATCTAAGTGACATCTTGTTTTCTGGAACATGATGTGGAATGGTCCAAGTTTAGTCGAATGTCTGTACCCAATCTATAGTAACCCAGCCCTGTACTTTTTCTAGCTTTCAATGCTCATACATTGTTTGTTTTCAGGGACCTTGTCAGTTTCACGTCCATATAGTTCATTAATTTTAAAACTTGAGTCATTTGGCCTTTGCAGTGTGTTTTGAGTTGATCTAAAAGCAGGTAAGCCATATCATTGGTGTTTACCTAGTGATGACCTCTGCTACCACCTTTCCCCCTTTCCCCTCAATCAGTTTGGGAGGCCTCAGTTCATTCTTATATTCCTCATCAGCTGGCTGACAAGGTATTGACCAGAAGTATGGATACTCTGCCAGTTGTTTCTCCAGAGACTGCTCGAAAATGCTGATTCTCATACTTCTTAAAGGGGTTATAATACTATTATATTTCAGTTCTTGATTTACTTAATTTCAGTTCTTGATTTATTTAATGACAATGTTTTTGCTTTTATTTATTTTTTCTAGATCAAGTATACACTAATTGATGAGCAAGATATCCCACTTGTGGACAACTATTCATTTGAAGTAAGTCTTTTTGTGGGTTGTTTGTTTTTTTTTGCTCTCTATCTAAAAACTGACCTACAGATGGCCTGTAAGAGATGATTACTAATACTTGCCAGTCCAGAAGGTGAGGATTCTAATCTTCTCTTCTAAAGTTATGGCTGCCATCGGCATCCAGCGCTTCTGTGTGTTTTGAAGACCGCTCATCCCCTCTGCGGTGGTGATTCCACCTGCTAGCCGCTTATCACTTCTGTGTCCTATAGTGACAGGTGGGACCACAGCTGGGAATGGAGCATCTCGCATACCCAGAAGTGTTTGATATCACCTGAGGCTGTGGTGCTGTATGAAATCAAAGATTGGACTTGTGAGTGTAAGCTTCTTTTACAGGCTGCCTGTTGGTCAGTTGTCACTGTAAATACTGTCTGAACAGGTTGTCACATACATTTAAACACGTGTGATTGTGTTGGAGCAACAAAAGCAAACTGTAAAAAAAAAAAGTCCGGCAAGTGGTGAGTCCACTTTCTGCTCCCTGTTATGGGTTTTGATGCTATCAGACTCTCAAGGCATGTGGTATACAGTGTCCCATGTGGTATAAATGGATCATGCCATGATGACGCATGAAGGAGGGTAGAGGTGGTTACTAACAGTAGAATTAGTGGCTGACATAGACCCTTTTTGTTTCAGGCTCGAATGGAAGTGGATGCTGATGGCAATGGGGCTAAGATCTATGCGTATGCATTTGACAAGTACAAAGGAAGGGGATCTGGGCGCTTACTTCACGAACTGCTTTGGTATGTATTGTTATATGATCTTATTATACTTCATCGGGGTTCCTAATAAAAGCAGATTGTGTAACTGATATAAACAAAGAAATGCCTTTGTGTTCACTTGTAAGTAGATTTATCTTGTGTTTTAATCCTTTCACTGCCATGTTATGATACACATTTTAAGACTGAAAATTACTTCAAACCCCAAAACATGATCTATTTTCTGAAAGCCAAGACCCTGTAGAATGAAATGGTTGCCGTTGCAAATTTTTATGTTGCACGATATTGGCGCAACTCCTTATCAAACCCAAAAATTTACGAAAAAATGCACTCGTTAAATGTAGTGCCCCAAAACACAATATAATACCAATTTTTAATAAAAAAGATGAGGTTACAACGCGTAAATAGATATCCAACAAGCCCAGGTTAAAAATTGTGTGCGTCCGTGAAACGGCAACAAAATTCAGTACCCCAAAAAGTCCATAGACAACACTTTAAAAGCCCCTAAAGGTCATCCGTTTAGAGATGTGTGTAAATATTGGCCCTAGAATTATTGCTCTCACTCTGGTGTGAAACACTTTTTTTTTAATTTCCATCACATAGGGGGGCTTACAAGCCCCCTATGTGATGGCATATTGCTGGTGACAGGTCCTCTTTAAGGTGACACTGGGGGTCCAACAGGCCCCCTAGTGTCACCTTTCCACTTTAAGCTATTTAAATGTAGATTGCACTTCAATAGTTTGGCTTCGATAGCCAAGCAATGACAGTGACTGGAATTGATGCAATCCATGTTGCTCCTGATCCCATAGAGTGGGGAGGAGATTGGTGAACGGAAGTAGAAGCTGATCCGTAGAAGCGACCTAGTGGCAGCTGAGCCGCCAGAATCGCCTCTATTGTAAAGCAGATAGCCGGCTTTACAATTGTAAACAGTCTGTTTAACCCCTTCATGACTGAGGCCCTTTTTTCATATTTTGCACCCATGTCATATTCCACATTTTAGGCCTGAAAATGACTTAAAAATCCCCCAACATTACATATTTTACAGGCCCGCTGTCAGTGACCTACTATGTACGTCAGTGGACGTGAAAGGGTTAAATGGCAAGTTATTTTAAAAAAAAAACAATCTGTACGCTTCTTGGTCTCCTAACTCCATGTCTTCAGGAATTGCCCTGGTTGGCACTGAACACCGGTTTGCAGTTCTCCTAGATTTTGCTTGGTTCTTGTTTGTACCATAGAAAATGAAGTGTTGTGAGCATAAACATTTTAGTGGACGCCTTTTTTATTTTAACTATTTGTGTTTGAAGCCATCTCCAGATGCTTATTAAAGCATAACTCCAGCCACAAATACTTGACTTATGTTCCTCAATAACCACAAAGGATATACATTCACTTTCTGTGCACTAAGTGTCCTTGTAAACCCAAATATTACTTTTAAAAAATACTGGTGACATAATCACTGTGCTGCACATAGCCAGAGCTGTGGGAGGGATCCAGTAGGCCACACCCATTGCAGACTGCCTTCAGAAGACTACAGGAGGAGCGGATACAAGACAGGTCACCCTGCACAAGGAGAAAAAAATGGTGGCCCTTTTTTTTTTTTTACCGGACCCTCCTGTAACCGAGGCATATATCTAGAAGAAATAAAAGCTTCTCAACATTCAAGGAAGAGCACATGCCTCTTGTACTTTGACAATATTTATCCCACAGTTATCAAACAAGGAGACGGACTTGCAGTAGGAGAGCCCTTATGGGATTGAAGTAACAGAGTGAAAGTTTACATTTGCAGACTTTCATTTGTACTAAAGTGCATCTGTAAAACAAATTCCCAAAAGGAAGAGCGCAAGGAAGGCAAATTCTTGTATTCTGGTATTGTAACTAATGTCTTCTATTGTAAAGCGCTGTGCAAACTGACGCTATATCAATCCTGTATAATAATACTAAAAATACTGATAAAGGTTTATGTGAATTTTTATCACGTGTAACTTATTCAATTAGGGGTAATTGATGCCTAGATGCCCTAATTAATTAGCATGCCCCCATGATCTCTTTTTATTTATTTTTAGGGGCATTGAAGACCCTATATATGTAATTACATGGCATGCTGCCATCTTGGGGTGAAGGCTTTTTTTGTCACTATGATCACTGTCATAGCTGATATAGTGATCAGAGTTTAACATCACCCTTCAAATTCACCACAATGACTAAAAACAGGGTTGTGCCTTCGTTCCCTAACCTTCTTCTCTTTTGTAGTGCTTGTACTCTTCATATTCTCTAACTGCTTTTTAGGAAACATATTTGGCATTGTGGGCGACTGACCATCTTTGTATCTCTTTCAGGCAGCGGCACAAAGGTGGCATTGCTCAAGGTTTCCAGGTGTTGCATTTAAATGGCATTACAGTTGATAACAGACTGGATAATCTACAAGTGGTTCCTCGGGGCTGGAAACCTGAAATAGAGGAAGTGTCTAATAAGCAAAGGTAAAGTAAGGACAAATTACCTGGGCCGTGCACCAAGCTGTTTATGGCTGACTCGCCCTTTACAAGTGTAAACCTACCCCCAGCTGTGTAGTAACCTATAGCAGTCTTTGAGAATTTGTATTTTAACCGTCTGACTGCATTAAAATCAATCCTTTTTAAAGTGTGTTTCCACTTTTGCAGTCAGGTTTGACTTCTATGTTTGTGTTCTCATTCACACAGCATACCTAAAAATAATTTTTACAAATATATTTCTTACCTTTTAGCTGTTTCTTTAGTGAAGGTCTTTGTGCTGATTCCAGGCTACTCTGAGCAGTTTGAAAGTTGAGGGTCAGACTGAGCTTCTTCTCATTAACATACAATGCCTCAAATTATTTAACCCTTTGTTAGGACAGACAACTGATAAGATCTACCAGTACAGTACAGATGGGGTTCATTGGAGTAATTTAACTTTGCACAGCCCCCTCCGTAACATTAGATAGGGGAGCTATCTAGAATTTTTTAGTAAGTATGAAGCACTAAAAATGTAAATGGAAATTTATTTTTCTTTGTTATGCAATGCCAATGGGAAAATTTAACATAAAATAGTCGTTATCCTAATTTACAAATTGAATAGGATGGATGGCAGGCTGGCTTCTCATGTACACTTTATTGTATTGCAGGGAACAGTCTCTTTACTGGCTGGCTATACAGCAACTCCCCACTGACCCCATAGAAGACTTGTTTCCACTGCTGAATGTTACTCGTTGTTACAACGCTAATGGAGAAGTGGTGCGGGAGGAGGAGAACTCCTGCACATATTATGAGTGTCATTATCCTCCTTGCACCATGATGGAAAAACAGGTATGGGCCAGCTAAATGATTGCCTTGTGGTGTGGGGGTGTTTGTTTTTGTATTTTGTTGGGATTAAGTCAGTTTCAGTTATCTGTCTGAAAATAAACATTTGTTGTATATGCACACCTGACGCGTGTATGAATGGGTGGGGACTTTTTTTGCAACTTTAATCCATCTTTTTTTTTTTTTCACTTTTATTGTTATCACATAGGGGGCTAAGAAACCCCCCTATGTGATAGTAAAGAGGATGTGACGGGTCATCTTTATGGAGACATCAGGGGTCTCCAAGACCCCAAATGTCACCTAGGGACTCCTAAAGAAGCAGAGATCTGCTGCATCCGCTTCTGAAGCCGGAGAGTGACGCAAGAATGCAGAAGTGATGTAATATACATTATTTCCGCATTCTGATAGCGGAGAGGGGACCGGAGGGAGATCGTGTACTGATTTATCTGATCCCCTGTTGGAGAGCCACCATGCTGGTCCCGGTCTCGCAGCAGGCACAGCAGAGCCTGGGAGGCGGGTGGGGCACACATACCAGAACCTCATACAAGCGATCCGCCGGCTCTATAGCCGGCGTATCGCTTGTATGTAAACGGGCATCGCGGCCTGTTTACATTTTGGCACTTTCCCACGAGTGGGTGTGGCTGAGCGGACGTTTAGAAACTTTTTTTAGAGTTTTTTTTTTTTTTTAGAGTTTTTTTTTATCACTGTGTGCACAGCCGGCCGGGAGGCGGTTAAACAGACTCCCTACTCTTATAGCAACCAGGAGTGTAGTTACAGGTTCCTGCTGCCACGGACATAGTCTGTACATCTGTGACAGCAAAAGGGTTAAAGCAACTGTCACTTTGCCCAAACAGGGCAAATTGACTGTCTTCAGGTGGCCCGTCCCTCATGGCATGTAGACTTGGCCTCACAGATTCAGATGTGACCGTTCCTTATTGCGTTGCTTCTGAAACTTTGAATTCTGGACATGTTATGATCAATGATGGCTGAACCCCGACTCCAATTCTGTCTGTGACTACATTTATGTCCTCGCTTTCAGTCTGACACCCTTATAAGTAATAGGAGATATTGTCATGGAGACAGGAAGGCACATATACAAATTACAAAAGCTCTAACCCTTTGTCACGCATCAATAAATATTTGTCCATGTCTCGCTTCAGATTTTATTAGTATTTCAAGTATCGTTGACTCAAGTCTAATATTGCACTTGTTTTTTTATTTTAACAATGTACATAATGTTTACTTTTATTTATTTTATTTTTTTTACCTCCCTAGTTGCGTGAATTTAACATATGTGGTAGATGTCAACTAGCAAGATACTGCGGTACCCAATGCCAACAAAAGGACTGGCCTGCCCACAAAAAGCACTGTTCAGAGAAGGTGCGACTGTCTCAATGTGAGCCGGAGCCAGAGCGGTGACCCCAGCCATGTGACTTTGTACTGCAGCACGCTCCATGTTTGTTAGGAGAACGTTCTATGTTCTGCACATTCATAAGTGACTGGTCAGTAATGCCAGAGGCACTGAAGATAATCCTGTGATGCTTGAGCGAATGTAGGGCTATGATGGACAATGCCACATAGAATTGGCTGTAATGGACAATGCCGCCTGGAACTGTGATGACTGAAGGAGTGGGGCCTTCCATTCCAGTATTAGAATTTGTCTCACAGACTACTGTGAAAGCTCCAACCAGGAGCTTGTAATTTATGTTGTTTGTAAAAGTTAATGTACAGTTTTTTTGGTTTGTTTTTTAAATGGTTGAGGCTACAAGCAGTTGATCCCAGTTTCCAAAATGAGCCCTTACAAGCTCCACGTTCAGCTGTCCTTTTTCGTATTTTATTCGCGTAACATTTTCACAGCAGCAACGCCGAATGCCTTTTGGATGTCTGGTCGACTGGGACAATATGCTATGCATGGAAATGTTGTTAAAAAATAAAAAAAAAAGTGTTTTTAGGGTGTTCATTTGTTTAACTGCCTCCCAGCCGGCCGTTGTAAAAAAAACTGCCGGTCGGGAGCTTCCTGGATCTGAGTGGGTGTTTTTTTTAAACATGCTTTCAGCTGTGGCGAGCGGGAAAGTGCCAAAATTTAAAATCGGGTAGCGATCCACCGGCGATCACTTGTATAATGTGCCGATATGTGCGCTTCCCGCTGTGCCCGGGACCAGCATGGTGGCTCTGACAGGTGATCAGAGGGAGATAGGTACACGATCTCTCTCCGGTGTCAGAATGCAGAAGTGATGTATAGCACATCACTTCCGCATTCTTGTCACTCTCCAGCTGATGAAGCAGATCTCTGCTTCATCAGCTTCTTTGGGGGTTCCAAAAAAAAAGTTTCCCTACGTCATGTTATAAAGCATTTATTCTTCCCATAGTTTTTGTAAAACATAAAAGTCGGGGTCACGTCGGGTAAATAGACACAAACATGTCAAGCCTTAAAATTGCGTGAGCCCGCAAAATCGCAAAAAATGCCCATAGGCGACGATTAAAACGCTTTTACTGCTCATCAGTGTAGTATTATCAGTGATTAATGGCTCTAAAAATTATTGCTCTCACTCCGACGTGTGCGGCACAATAGGCGCAATCATCATTTTCGCACGTAGGTGCATCTGACGCATATCTGCGTGTGTATGTGGGGGGCGGGGACCTAAAAAAAAATAAAATAAAATTTTTTATGCTTTATTTTTTTATGATTCTTTAAAGGAGAACTAACGTATAAGGTGAGTGCTTTTCACTCATCCTCATAGTTCTAGCCGACCTGTGACAATGAAATTGTCACAGGTCGGCTCAGTAGATCGGGAAGTGAGTGAACACATACCGGCGCTCAATCCCTTCTCGATCCTGTCACTGCAGAGAGCCGTGACAGGGGAGGGACTGGATTCCCCCCTCCCCGCTCCGATCCACCAGCGCTGAATTATGGAGACATCAGTGGTCTCCAAGACCCCTAATGTCACCTAGGGACCCCCAGAGAAGCTGATATATCTGCTTCTGTAGCTGGGAGAGTGACACTGAATGCAGGAAGGGATGTAATATACATCACTTCCTGCATTTGGGGACTGAGGCGATCAAAGGGAGTTCGTATACTGAACTCCCTTTGATCTCCTGTCAAACGGCAGTGACAGCTGCTAATAGAAGCGATTGAGTGCCTCCTAGAGACGCCCGATTGCTTGAATGTAAAGCTCCCGGCCGGACGTGTAATTACAACGGCTGGCCGGGAAGCTGCTTGTCGGGCTCCACCGTCCAATCGTCGCGGACGAGTGGATTTTTTGTATGTATGTCGGATCAAAGACAGACCAAAATGTACACAACAAGAAACACCTGCCATAAGAGAAATACAGGGGCTGACATTGCTGGCCTCCTTGTGTAAAAGCTAGTCGCCATGTCTGGCTTCAATATACCTGGAACAAGTATGCAGCAGATAAGGCTGGACACACACCTTACAACCATCGCAACACTTTTGTCTTGCGATGGTTGTAAGGTAATTTTAAAGAAAACATACGATCTGCCCATCTTGGACAGGCAGATCGTACTTGCCATGATCGCAAGCATGCCCCGCTGAGGGGCGGGCTTCCGATGACCGCAATGCTAAGCCCGTGCGGCTTTTATCTTGCTAACATGCCACACACCCGCCGACAATCGTACGATGCTCGGCGGGTTTTCGAACATGTTCATAAGATAAAAGTCGTGCGACCTTACAGTAGGAGAGGTCGCACGCCTTCCACACACCTTGCGATAATCGTACGATCGCGGGATTTCCTGCGATTATTGTACGATTTTCGCAAGGTGTGTGAGCACCTTTAGGGTCAGAAAAGTACTGAAATTCCTATTTTCATGTTCTGCATCAGTGATTTGGTATTGGATCCAAAACATATGCATGAAAGCTAGGCAACTAGCATTTCAGGAGGTTGGCAATGGCAGCTCCCATATGTTCATGACACTTTAGAGTGGGCCTCCTGCATGAATGGGGACCTAAAGCTATATTGCCAGTCTTGCTAGAATAGATCATTTTGGAGCTTGTCTATAGAAAATGCTAATCTATCTTCATAGATTAACACATGAACAAAAGCTTAAAAGTATGTATAGCCCAAACTTCTTATACTGCGTCCCCAAAGACTATAAGCCAATATAGGCAAGAAAAGGCCAACGTGCCCTTATGTAACTGAACCCTCAGGTGGCAGGCATAGAACTTCTTGCACTCCATGAGGAGACTACAAGTATCTAGGTCAGGTGGTCTCAAATTACCAGCCTGGGACTCGGCACTGTGGCCTGCAGCCAGCTCACAAGTGAGGTACGTGGTCACAGACTACCAAACTTGTGGGAGGAGCTACACGGTCTGCATATTTGTCGGATGCAGACTGCAGAGTTGCTTCTCTGCTGGCACCCGGATTAATTGGTAAGGTCTGCTGCAGACTTTACTAATCACAAGTGATTGTGCCTCCTCCCTGCAAATAGGTAAGCAGGAGAGGCGGCTCTCTATTTAAAGGTGCCATTCATAGCTGTAAGTTTAGGTGCGATTAGGGATTCCTGCATCAGGGAATCTGGTGCATGCACCCTAATCTGGTGTTTAAAAGTGGCAGCTGTCACCCATTCAAGTAAATGATCAGGTGACAGCAGCTGCATGTAAATGCCTGCACACCGCCTGTAATGGTATGTGATATGATCACATTCGGTTAGGAATCAATCACTCTCCCTGAACGCATTGATTGTGCATCCAGGGAGAGTTTTCTAACCGCATATAATCATAACACATACCATTACATGCGGTGTGCAGACGTTTACATGCAATGCAGCTGCTGTCACCTGATCATTAACAGCTGCCACTTTTAAATGCCAGATCAGGGATTCCTGCTGCAGAAAAACGCAAGTTCCTGATGCAGGAATCCCTAATCGCACCTAAACCTACAGATATGGTGTGTGTATACACACACACACCGTAGTACCAAACCGCATATAGTTAAAGTATGAAATTTGGCAAGCGGACCCTATGGGATAAAAATATTTGCCAAGTGGCCCCCGCGTGAATTGAGTTTGATACCCCTGCTCTAGATTATCTGGCTAGTAGCATAACCAGAAGCTTGGTTGAAAATCTTTCAGGATGGGAGATGTTGAATTACTCCTATGCCCTCCTCATGTATGCTCCCAGTCCACCCACAAGGTCTGGGGCTGTGTCTTCCATGTACTCAGAAAAGCCTACGTCTGAATGAAGATGCGCCCCTACTTTTCATAGTGGAGAAGGGGTGTTTGTTAACCTTTGCAGACACTTGAACAGCTTGCATCTCAGATGCTGTGGGTGCAGGAGGTGGGCTACAAACTGGAGTTTCATTGCCTTCTGTTCTTCGCCTCCAACCTTCCTGTTTCCCTGTACAGGTTAGTGGCTCTCCCTCAAGCCCTTCTAGGTTTTCTGGATCAAGTTGTCATTGCCTCAGTTCTACTCCAACTTGTTCACGATTTTCAAACCCAAAGGGGCAATCTTGCTTTTCTGGTTTCTGTGGTCAAAATTGCATGCCTGCATGTGCCAGTCTTCCGACAAGCATTGTTTCCTACGTTTTGCTGTGGGGCCCTTGCCTTACCAGTTTGTGTTTTTAGCTGCACCTCAGGTGCCTACCAACCTGCTGCACCCTTGTGGCATCCCAATTCTGGTACATGTAGACAACCTCCTGTTGAAGAAACTATTGGCACAGGTTCTGTTGGAAAAGTTGGCTCTAACTGTCCAGTCATAACAGTGGTTCGTATGATTGCCGAACGTTCATAGATTAGCGCTGCAGCCGCCTCATCATTCAGAGTATCTGGGCATAGTCCCAGACACAGTTCAGGCAAGGGTTAGGAGAAGTTCTTTCTCTCATAGCAGAAACTTCAGAGTCCCAGATCTAAGATTTGAGCTTTCAAGTTCAGAATCTGCCCAACTCTGCTTTGGCATGTGTCTTGGGCCTAATGGTAGCCCTCCTTCAAGGCTGTCTGATTTGCCCAGTTTTTCTCCAAAGCTCTATGCCTTATTTGTGTATCACTCAGCTGTAGATCTTCAATTCATCTCTGAATTGGAGCTGACACTGTCCTTCCTTCTGGAGGGTGGCTACTTTTGTTCCCCATGGTCCCTGTGTGTGTTGTAAAGTAGCCACCGCTCCAAGCTCGCTCCTGTGATGGACTACAATCTCATGTTTAGTTTACTAATTTGTATTGAGATTGTGGTCCATCACTGGAGCGAGCTTGGAGCGGTGGCTAATTTACAACACACACAAGGACCATGCGGAACAAAAGTAGCCACCCTCTAGAAGGAAGGACAGTGTCAGCTCCAATTTAGAGATGATTTTGGGATCTACAGCCGAGTCACTTTAAGTGGTTAATGGAGGTCTATGCATTAGATCAGTGGTCCCCAACCCCCGGGCCGCGGACCGGTACCGGTCCGTGGATCAAATGGTACCGGGCTGCGGGGCCCCGCACTGCCGACGGGCTTCAC